TCGCTCGAGGTGCTAGTGTCTAGCCCCAGAGGGGACTATGTATGTGTCAGCAGAGGAGGAAGCAGAGGTGGGGCGAGCACACTCCAGATATATCATAAGCCGTGTCAAATTGTATGGCCCCGAGGCTCGTCTTAATGCCACGTTAGATTAAACCGGATATATTGTGTTCTTTAACACATCGCCGTATAGTGTACTTGAAGCGGTACATGTGGGGGAGTGCATCGAGCTCGAGTGCTGCATTAGTTCTCCGACTGATAGAAATGCGATCTTCCTCTCGACTTAATCTTTTTTATTTAACGTTTTTTTTTTGTCGTGCGCACACATCAGTTTGTGTTCATTCAAATTCTATTTAACGTTTGTTTTTTGTCGTGCGCACACATCAGTTTGCGTTCATTCAAATTCCAAAAAAAGGTGGCAGTCACGCCCATTCGTTCATTTGTCTTGATGGTTCTTGAGATCCAGTTCTTCTGGGCTGCTGCATGAGTGTGAAGCAAGACACTCAAGAAGCGCTGTGCGTTCTGGAACACTATCATTCTTGGGATTGCCAATCTTACGACCAGAATCTGCGGTGACCCAGGTAATATCCAGAAGTTTGAGTTCGAGGACCACTGCAAGGAGCTCAGCAACCTAAAACGAAATGCGTAGATACGACATGATTTTAGGGCTGATATCGCTGGTACCAACATGGTCTACAGCCTTTGGTGAATCAATGCCGATGTCGGGTAGAAATTCGAGGGTGTCTGCAAGGGCTTCTGTGATGTCTTCAGTTTTTAGTCTGGCTTTTTTGATCAGAGCTGAGGTTGTCTTGAGAGCAGCAGCGCGCTCCGCATCTTTCCCCTCAACTATGCGGGTGAGCATTAATTCAAATATTCGTTTATACACGCGATTTGAAGTTGGAACTTCGTCGAGCGATACAACTAATTCATCATCATCGTTCAGTAGGGCATGCTCATCGAGTGAAGATCTTGCCCGATTAGTCACACGATCCTCGGCCCACTGCGCGGTGGATGTCGTTGTTAGAGGGGGTTGGTCAGTTTTAGCGGGCGGAACCGAAGTTGAAGGCTTAGTCCGCTCTTGGTCACGCGAAAGAATCCGCACCGTAGAAGATTGAGGCCTACCCAACTGCCGTACATCTTGGCTACCGCTGGTACACAAATTTGTGTGCTGTTGCTGCAGTTGCTGCTGCTGCTGAGATACTACTTGACGCTGACGTTCGCGGGCCATGTTCCGTTCCTGATCGCGACGATGCTGATTTTCACTTCTTCCCTGTTGTTGCTGATGTACCACCGCAACCTTGGAAGCACCGAGTTTGTGTGGGCCATCTTTAGCGCGCCTCTCCTTCCAACCATTCTTACGACACTCCAGAAGATCCTGTAGCATAAACCGTGTGCGAGCCACCAGACGCTTCGAATCCTTAGAAAGTACGGAAAGTCGCTTGCAGTACCTGTACAAGGCCGTGACATCTCGCTGAGAATTCTTTGCGGACTTCCGGAATTTACGCATCTAACTTTGACTTTGAGGAGGCGGGGGATTCGAGCTGCTTGCCGATAGTGAGGAATAGCTTCGCAGCAGCTTCGATGGATTCATCATCTGGGACAGCGTCGTCGTCGTCAAGAGATCCGAGGAGAAGTTTGATGCATTCATGCATTATTTTTTCCTTCAGAAGCTGTTGTTTGAAAAGCTCACCAATAAATTTGACATTGCCAAGCATGCGTCGTTTCAGTTTCATCACCCAGACCTCCAGCTCAAGCTCATCGGGAGCCTCCTTTGGGGGTACGCCCTGTTCTAGGGCTTGTCGCGCAGCCTCAATCGCATCATTTTTTGCGGTTTGTTTGGCCTCTCGAGCTGCAGCTTCGAGTGCAGCGGTGCCGCCAGAACTCCGAACATTTCTCTCGAACTCCTCTTGACACTGGTTCAGCAGAAGCCGCTTAAATGATGCCTTTTTCATAGCATCCTGCTGTGCCTCCTCCTTGGTTGCAAAACTGCCAAATAATTTCGTCTTTTCATCAGCAAATATCTCCTGCGCATCATGAATCACAGCAAATACCTACGAGGACAAATAGATCAGCCGTGCGGAGCAGTTGACACTGATCCCGGACAACACCAGGTCGCTGCTCAGCAAAGTAACAGCAGACCAATGAGTTTTCCTTGAGGAAACAATCAGAAGATTGTAGTTGCAATTGGCCTACGCCGATGGCCTCAACACCAGCATCCGCACCTTCGAGAAGTTGAGCTACCGCGGAGAAGTCCGGAAGCGGAAGAAGCCTTGACGTGTCAACATCGAGATCGGCGACCCATGACCAAGTTCCTGCTGTTTCGTCTTTCACTGGTCGAATGAAGGGCCAAACACGTGTTGCCTCTGCCAAGCGTGCACATAGTGCTGCATATACAACTGCGAAGTGCGGCTCGTCTACGGCCTTATCAAATAGAACACCAATGACACGCCTGAGCATCTCGGATGATGTCATCTCTAAGTCACACAGCTGTGCCGAGAGTTTTTCGAAATTCTCAGGTGTCATCTTGTTCAGAATTGATGTGACCTTGTTTATTGAACCATCTAGCGCATCTGAAGATTTATGTTTACGATCCCACCGGTGAGCTGTGGTCTTAAGTGGCTCAAATGGTTCGGGGCCCCACTGATCATGAGGACCGTCTCTTTGTTTTACACGTTGCCCGCGGTCCCACTTGTCAGATGCTGCTGTGTGGTCGGTCTTGCGGTGACGTCCCCTAGATCCATCTGAATTGTGGCGCAAGCCTTGATCTCGTCGTGGATCCTCCATAGACCCGCTGTAGCGACCAGCGCCACCTGAACCACCACCACCTGCACCTGCGCCACCACCGCGTGTTGTGCCACCAGGCCCCAGCCGTCGCCCCGCACGCGAGTCTCCCGTTGAAGATCGCTCCACAACAAAACTTGGCAGATGGGCTGGAGGTGATGTATTCAAACCAACTCGCAGCTCCAATAGACGAGCCTTGGTGTAAGTGAATCGCTCTGTGGGGACCGGTGCCTGTTTGTCAGCAATGATTGATACTGCAGCAGGTGCGGGCGTGGGAGTCGGCGTTATTGCTCCTACATCCTCCCACGAATCCAAAATCGCGTTTTCTGACGGTGTTGGTTCTGCACTCGAGATCACGCTTGAAACCGAATCTGAAATCGACTTTGATGCTGGTGCAGTACTAAATGAATCAAGCACGTCACTGTGGCCACGAGATTCATAATCCGCTGCCCGCCTTTTGAACGACGTCTTGTTTTTCTTCGATGGAATAGTTTCTATCGTCTCTGGTTGTATGCAAGATGATGAAGGGGGGGTGACTGGGGACTGACTATAACTGGCATTGATGAGAGGGTCGTAATTACTTGCGGCGGAGGCTTTGGCTGAATTGCTAGAATCATGAGTCTTGGGGTCAGCGGCCTTTGCGTGGGTGTCAACTGGAATGGTATCCCCGCTTTCAGAATCGAAAACCGGTGACAATTGTTCCGTAACAAGAACTGGTTGACTGGCGATGACTTCTGCACCTTCAGACTCCACGCCCTCATGGGCAGGTGGGGCTGGGGGTTCCAGCAATATGTTTGCGTGGCCGATCGAATCAGCTGGCAACTCTATTGGGTCATCATGGGTAGCATCCTCGAGTTCATCATCCTGCGGTGCTATTGAAACAATTGTTGTATCGGTTGGGAGGGGACGAGTTGATGTACCAGTATTGGGATCCTACCAGAAACAATCGATCACTTGAATTAGATGGAAGGCTCTGGATCTGACGTCATCGCAATGGGGGGCGTCCACAAGGGTAGTCTCTACATTCAAATCCATTTGTGGTGCCATCCTATGAAGTTCAATATGATTATAAATTAAGCTACAACATATATGACTCCGTACTAGAGTGCATGTGCATTTGTGGGAACGCATGTGGATGTGGCGGTGCTAAATATGGTTGC